AAAAATGTATTAATTAAAAAATTAAAAATTAAAAAAAAAAAATAGAATGAGGCTAAGGGCTGATGGCCTGGTATGCAATGTCAAATGCTTAGATTATCAAGAAAAGACCCATGTGCACAAGTCTTCAATTATTTTTTTAAATATATCCAATTTCTTTGAGTAAAAAACAACATGTTATCTAGATTTTTTTAGATTTCGGTTATTGTTGTGGTCAGAAAAACAGGGTTCATATTTGTTTTCCACATAGAAACCCATTTTAAACCCATTTCTTTACCCAAAACACTTAAAACACATCCTATAAATATTAGTAATTCAATTCATAGTCTCCATAATGGCAAACAATCTTCTCAAAACTTGAAATCAACCTATAATAAAAAATCTTTCTAAGCTCAAATCTATTTTCTCAAACATTTTAAAGGATAAAAACACCTAACATGAATCTATCTCATAATACAAAAACATTTGATATAAAAATTAATTGTTTTGGTGGCTAAAATTGCTAACAACAACCTTTTTTTCACTGGAATATGAAAAACCTCTCTCTTCCCATTAAAAAAGACAAAATAAAAAAATAAAGTTTGACATAAAAATATAATTTTATAAAAATTAAAGAAATTGATCACCTAATAGCTAAACAAATAATGAGCTAAAATCAAATTTTCAGATAAATTTCAAATATGCCATTTATTTTATCCAAGTTTTTCATTTCAGTTATTAATTTTTTTAATTTAACACTTATTCATAAAGAAATATGTAATTGGATACTAATTTAGGCTAAAAAATTTTAATTGTACAAAATAAAAATTTAATGATCAAATTAATTTTTTTTTAAATCATTACTTTAATTTAGTGGGATGTAAGATGATGAACAATATTTATGCTACAGTGAAAGTAGGAGATCTTTCAAGCTAATGTGTACCCAAATAGATTTTTGCGTCGGAATACACCTTACAAAACAAATTGTTAATGTCACATGTACACAATTTTTTTTTTTTTTTGTACACAATTTTAAGAAGACTCGATCACGTCTGTTTCGGGATCAGAGTTTAAAATAAAAGTTAACCTAATACATAAACGTCATCCAGAGAATGAACGACCGGATTGAAATTTAAGATTTAAGTAACCGTGGTGTTGTGCTCTGCGGTCCGGATCAAAAGTTAATTCTAGAACAAAAACATGTGAGTATTTTTATTTTTTTTCAGTCGATAAAAAACTTGAAATGCAAATTGAAAACTTAATTTGTATATTTAATAAAATTAATTGATCATATATATGTTAATAAATGTTTTAAAAAATCATTAATAATAAATACAAATTAAATCATGATGCTAAGCAATAAATACAAATAAAAAAATATGATCTTGCATCGTGTCTTGCTATTTAACATCTTTATTTATTTATGTCTCAGCTTCTTTTTAAAAAATAAAAAGTTGAATCTAAACAAAATAACTACCTAGCACAATTTTTTTTTTAATTGATCTTACCTCGCCTTGTAATGTGCTTCCTTGCATGGCTTATATTTAAAATTCAACCGTGTTAGAGATGGTTCGGCATAATTCGCTCAACCTAGTAGGCCCAAACTCGTCCAGGTCTTTGTGTTTATGACCTAATTTGGCTCTATTATTTTTCAAGTTGTTATTCATTTTGATTTTTTTTTCAAAAAGTTTTTAAGATTTTTATACTAATGTAAACTCTCGACAAAATAAAATAGGGTTAAATTAAGATTTTAAAAAATTCCTTTTATACTTAAGGAGGGGAAAAAAATGTCAATTACCCTAGAAAAGAGTATAAAAATGGGAGATGTTCTTCTTTCCTGGCCAACAACTACAAATAAAGGGGAAGGGATGAAATTTTCAATTTTTCTCACCAAAATCTTAGAGAAAATCAAGGGATTTAGAGAAGAATTGAGGAAACACATAAAAACACCTTTAAACACATGATTAAGAAGTAAAGAGAAGCAAAATAATTAAGGAGAGGGGTTGTACATAAATAATTTAGGAGAAGGGTTGTACAATCAAAGAAAAAAACAAAAGATTCGAAAAAATTTTGACTGGTTGAGATTCAAAAACTTGAATAACATCTAGTAAATTGATAAATAACATTTACAATTTAATTTTTATTTGAACCTACACTAAAAATTCATACAATTCGAATAATATTTGAGGTATAAATCATGAAATTTAGGCTAGTGTTTATAGAAAAGTTTTTGGGAACATAAAAATTGATTATAAATTGATCAAATTTAATTAGATTAGGTTATATTTGATGTTAAATTTAATAGCACTGATGAAGAAAATATAGGATCCTTATGAGCCCAAGTGGTTGGCCAAAAAGGAAGTTAGGCACATGATATATAATTACATGTAATTAAGTGAAATTATTAATATATATTTATGTGGGGAAATGTTTTTTAAAAGAATTGAATTATTATTTAAGATTTTTTTTGAAATGTTGTTATGTAGTTGGAGATTTTGTTAACATATATACATTGATTTTAGATGCTTAAATAAAGATTTAAGTGAGCATGAAGGGTTTGTAAAGAATTTGAATTAATCATGTTGCAATATATATATATAATTTATTTTGTAACAAATATAAGAAGATAATTTGATATGTCTGTTGATACAAGAGAGGCTTTGAGTTGTGCTGCAGCAAAGAGATACTTTGAAATCTTTGATCGTAGATAGGTGTTCCAGTATTCCATATCTTCACATTTTATTTTGTAAAATTGTTGTTATAATATTTTGGATATGTTTTATTATGTTATTTTTAATTTGTAAAATATCTAAGTGGAAGAAAGTAATTTCTTGATGATGAGATTAATGCGGACTAAGAACAATAAAATTAATTATAGTGATGGGATTAATATCTAATAAGAGGAATATAATTAATCTAGGTGATGAGATTAATGCACAATAAGGAACAATATAAATTAGTATTAAAAATGAGAATAAGGTCTAGCAGTGGACATGAGAAGTTAATCTTTTCCAATATTAGAATTAATGTTTAGTACTAAGAAATGAAAATTCAATTTCTAAATGTAGGAGTTTTACCCACGGATGAATTGATAATTTAGATTGTTTATAAGTGGAAATAATATTTCTAGGCGAACTAAGAACTACCTAATGTTGGATACAGGTTAAAAAAAGCTTAATATAAAGATTATAATTTAGGAAAAAGAATGTGTATTGGAAATGATGATAAATAAGAAATATTAACATAGAAAATAAACCATATAAGTTAAAAATAGATTGTGTGAATGGTAATTGAATAAATTTTATGATGAATCGTGTTCAAACATGCCATTATATTTATTTTAATTGTTTAGGTAAATTATTATTACATATTTAATTATTGTTTATATATTTATTTATAGGTATCTCTTAGCTTCGAGTTGCATAATAAATATTTAAAGATCTTTGTTAATTTTGTAAGGGATTGTAATAATTATTTTTTTGTAATTGAATGTCAATCCACCTTAAATTATGTGATTATAAATGTAACTTAATCATGCTAGTGCATGATGTTATACTTATGCTTTTGTTGTTCCTTATACTAATAGTATTATATAATTTATGATTATAGATTTTAATTTGAATATTAAATATTATAACTACATACATGGCATTAAAATGAATTATAATGATTGTGATGAGATGTGTTGTGAAATAATAAATCCAGGCATTAAAATGAATTATAATGATTGTGATAAGATGTGTTGTGAAATAATAAATCCGGGATAGTTAAATAATAATTAGGCTTCTTGTAATCTCCTATTATAGAAAGACTTTGCTAAAAATTTGATTAATTCTTATTAAATTATAAAAAGATCATTTAAAAAATAGTAATTATTTATAAGAAATAAAACTTAAAATACATAAAAATATTAAGGTGTTGCAACCTAGATAAACTTAGATGAACTTATCATATCAATTTCAGACCTAATTGGTTTTATAATTTTTTTTTGATAAATAAAGTTTTTGATCAATTAAAAAAAAAATCACATAAAAAAAAAGTGATTGCATTAGATGTTAGGAAAAAACATATTATATGAGCTAGCCTATTTAAGCCATATGTCTCTTTCCTTTATCATTTTTTCTTTTTAGGGATTTTTATTGGGCTCAAGTGTGAGAAGACTTGAGACTAAATTTAAAAATCATTAAAAAAATCAAAAACTAATATAAAAAATAATTTAATATTTAAAACACACACATCAACATGTGACGAAAGCGATCACATAGGATGAGGCGTGTATGACTTTCCCATAGCTCCAATGGTGGCCTTCCCCGGTATCGGTAAAATCATCTCAATCGACGCTTACTTTAGGGTGGCGCGTGACGGTATCTTAATCCCATCGATCCATTCTTTGTTTCTTTTCTCTCTTTCTCTGGGTTTGCCCGCCTTATTCCTTGTCTTCTTTCCTTCAAAGATGAAGAGAAAGGGTTGCATTGTTTCCTAAAATCAAATTTTGTCTGTGGGAGTGTGTTATCTCGTCAATGTATACTGTGAGCTTCACTCACCAACCATCATATCCGACCCCACAAGCTGACTCCGAGCTTGCATGTCCTCACTGGCACAGGAAAATCCACGTCACCTATAAAATCAACGAAAGATGCTCACTTAGGTCTCTTCTAATTAGTATATTGCAGTTAGTGCAACTCAATTGGGTCCTCTTCTAATTAATCATGCACTGTTTGCCTCATGAAATGCTTACGACATTAATATTTTTTTAATTAAGAAATTGTCAAAATATTTATTTATTTAATTATGATATTATCATAGGAATCAGGTTTATTAATATTTTTTATAAATTATGCAAAACACAAGGCTGTGGAACTTATATTATGAGTATGGCAATAAGAAGGACCAATTGAAATTAAAAATAAATAGAAGGACCTCTAGAATGATAAAAAAGCTAATAGGGCCCCAATTGAAATTATAAATAATATTCAGAGGGCTGTATGCACCTTTTACTCGCTAATGAAACCCCAAGGAAAGAAAGACAAAGCAGGGTCTCTTTTTTCCACTCTCTTTTTTCTGTCTCTCCGTTCGGCTCATTTTGATAGCTAGCTGCTTTTTCTAGAGAGAGAAAGAGAGGAACGGACAGTGTTTGTTTGTGTGTGATTTTCTAGGGATAGATCAGAAATAGCCATGGATTCATCAAAGGATCGCGAGAACTTCGTCTACGTCGCTAAGCTCGCCGAGCAAGCTGAACGCTACGACGGTCGGTCTCTCCCTCTAGATATATTTATATGCGTGTTTGTTCTTTCTCTCTCACTCTAGATCTGTGCTTTCACGTTATGTTTTCGCTCATTATAGAACTCAATCGTACGACCGATCGTAGATTTATGGATTGATTAACAGGTTTAACTTACATTTCAATACTTATTACTTTTGATTTAAAAAAATTATTGAAATATATTCGTCTTCTTTTTTGGGAGATTATAAGTTAATCACGTTGAATTAAGGTTACGGATTTTAATTATTTTGATTGATTTCTTCTTTCATTTGCAACTACTTTGATGGTGCTTTTTCTTCTTCTTAATTTCACTATTATTATGTCTTTTAATGTAGGTTTTTGTGCTTAAATTTGGGATCTTTCAAAAAGAAAAAATTAACAATAGAGGAAATTTAGTAATTGCTGATTCAGTAATTATCAACTAATTAATTTGTTTATTTGTGATTGCATAGGTGAAAGGTAAAATAAAAATGGAATTATTTCTGTTCATCGAAATTAGTTTCTAGTGGAAATTCAAAAAAATAAAAGAAACAAATTTATGATGTTGATACTTTTGTTGAAAGTTGTTAGAAAACTGATAGTTTATTGTGTGATGGCATGTAGAAATGGTGGATGCCATGAAAAAAGTGGCGAACCTTGATGTTGAATTAACAGTGGAGGAAAGAAACTTGCTCTCTGTGGGATACAAGAATGTGATTGGTGCGAGGAGGGCATCATGGAGAATCTTGTCATCAATTGAGCAGAAGGAGGAGTCAAAAGGGAATGAAACAAATGTGAAGAGGATCAAAGAGTATAGGAAGAAGGTGGAGGCAGAGTTAACTGGCGTTTGCAATGATATCATGACTGTGATTGATGAGCATCTCATTCCATCATCTGTACCTGGGGAATCCTCTGTGTTCTATTATAAGATGTAAGGGTGGATTTGTTTGTGATTTTATTAATTTTTTTATGTAGATGATGTGGTTTAAATTGTCATGTGAAATTTTTGAAGGTATTTGGGTTTGGTGCAGGAAAGGTGATTATTACCGGTATCTAGCAGAGTTCAAGAGTGGTAATGAGAGGAAAGAGGCAGCTGATCAGTCACTTAAGGCATATGAGGTATGTATGCCTATTTTTTATTCTGTTTTCCTTTGATGCCATGATTAAATTCTAGGGTTTGAGAGCTTTGACTTGATTTTAAGCACTCATCTGCTCTAAACTGAGTCACAGATGGTTCTTTTCTCTCCCAGACAGTTGCACTTTTGCTGTCCGGATTATCTTGAAACGTGAATTTTCTTCATGTGCAACCTATTTTTGAAAACCCCAGGCTTTACATCCTTTCCTTGACATATATTTTCTTGTGTCTCTTTAGTTATTTCTTAGAAAGGAGAATGGTATTGAAACTTGCATTTAGGTAGCTGTAACGTCTTTATTTACTGTTAAATTGATCAGGGATTGCTTTCACTTGCATAAAATGTTGTACAGCTGTGTTTTGATGTTTTTAAACTGGCAGAGCCCTGTTTGATATCTACCAAGGCTCTTTACCTGTACAGATATTCTCCATGTGTTTTTCCCATGGGAGCATTCTTTAGTTATGGCCATTTGATTTTCTGCCAATTTTATATGGTGCTTCTTTTTCATTAAATCTGCCACCTCTACCCTTGTTTTCCTTTAACCTCGCCTCTTACATATCAGTTTATTCATCTGCATAAGGTTGACTATATAATTAGTTCTGCATGTTTGTTGGTTTTTGCAGACTGCTACATCAACTGCAGCAAGAGATCTATCTCCCACCCATCCCATTCGACTGGGTTTGGCTCTGAATTTCTCTGTGTTCTACTATGAGATTATGAGCTCACCAGAACGGTATGCAGAATGTGATTGCTTATATGTGGGAAAAGCTCTAGACTATAATTTTATTTGTGTATTGGAAAAGCTTATACATTTAAGTTCTTATTGCATTTTTGGGGTCTCTTAGGGCCTGCCATCTTGCGAAGCAATCATTTGATGAAGCTATTTCAGAGCTGGATACCCTGAGTGAAGAGTCTTACAAGGATAGCACTTTGATTATGCAACTGTTGAGGGACAACCTCACTCTGTGGACTTCTGATATTCCTGAGGATGGAGGTATCTGTCGATTCAATGCATGAAAGTTTGAGAGGGTTAAATTTTCATTTTATTTTATGAAGAATAATGGTGATCTGTTCTCTCCATTAAGTATAATACTGTACTTGGTCTAAAATGTATTGAAATCCCATTTTTGCTAGACTCTTTCTCCATAACAATAAACAAATAAATGGAAAAATTGATATACTTGACATTGTCTCATTATGAGGTTTGTGAATTCTTTAGATGCTGCATTCATGATTTCGTGTTTTTACTTGGAGCATTTGGGTTTAGTAGTATCTTACTAAATCAAATGAGCAGAGCAAAATTGAAAAGTGATGGCCCATGGACCAATTAAAATCTATATGCATTTGATTGTTTGAGTTCACAGGTACAAAATGCTTCAGATTCTTTGTAAGAAATCATAGTGGTTTTTAGTGGACATCTTCTTTAACCTGCACTTTTTGCAGCATGAATTGTCCGTTGTGCACATATGATTACAAATGTTTGTATACTGTAGGTTTTTAGTGGACAATTGACTTAGCTGAATTCTTATTTTGACAGAAGACCAGAAGATGGAAACCTCTGCAAAAGCTGGTGGGGGTGAAGATGCTGAGGTTGGTCATTTACCTATTGTGAATTGTCTGTTCTCTGAACCATTTATTTGGATTTGCAGATCTATGAACATTCATTGAATTCTTTTGTTGTGCAGTGATGATGCGACTGGAACTCTGACGTGTGAATGGGAGTAGGATGATTTTCCCACGTTGTTGTGTCATTGCTATACTTTAAGAGAGGTTTTTATGGTTTTCTCATTTGTTGTACCTTACTATTGTCACTTGGTATTAGTCTTGTTGTCCGTCAACTATGTATTAGCAGGAATATTTGTTGGGTTGTAATATGGATGGCCTACGATTATTGCTGGTTTTTAAAATTTCCTTGCAGGCCAATTATATTTCAATTGGTTGTTTTGGGTAAAGAATTCATCTTTTATTCAGTGATTACCACCTCTTCAGGATATCATGTTGGAGATCTCGGTGGATTTCTAGAAATAAACTTATGAATAGAGTTTTCTTACAAAACTGAAGTTGCGAAACTGAATAGAGTTATTCATGCTTGCAATGCTATTAGAGACGGTGAGGTCTATCTCAGCGTAGTGTTCGGGTCGCCAGTTAACTTTCGTAAGTGACCATGGATAATTCTGCTAGATAATATCATCTGTGTAGTGAAAGCTTCTGGGTGGATGATGAGTGTGTTTCAGCTTTACTGGTGTTGCATTAGAGCTGCTTTGTCTTTTGGATGAATCAGGAAGTCCTGGCTACATGTACGATCTTCATTTAAATTTCGAATCGATGCTGACGATGAAAAGAAAAGGCATATAAATGGGTAGCAAAATTATCCAGCAATGGATTTTGCGTTCTGTTGATTTTGATCATGATTCTCCATGACCTTGTACACAATCCAAAAAATAAGATCTATTAGTTGTATAAACCTCTCTTGGTCGCGGGATTGTACGCTTCTCGCCAGCTTCAATTTTCATGTGGTTCTCGTGCTCGTCCTTCTCTGATTTCTTACCCTGGAGGAATTTAGCGATGTTTTAGAGGGAGTTAGTGCTTTGAGTTAGCTATCGGACGATCTGATGGGTCTTAAAATCTTAAAATTTAAGATGTTTAGAAATGAAATAGTTGTCTCCTCGTAGGTGATGGGTCTTAAAATTCAAAATATTTAGAAATAAAATAGTTGTATTAAATAATGGATTAATTTCTTACTTCAAATAATTTAATTTATTTTTTTTAATTAAGATGTCTAATCACTTGATATGAAAAGTTTAAGTAGTGCCCGGTAAGTTTTACCGTTAAGATAATTGGTAGCTAATATCTACAAAAAGATTCTCATTAATGCATGTAGAGATTCTTTATTGCTTGATTTAATAATTTTATAGAGAAAGTACAATAATATCTCGGAGATATAGATTCTGAATATATGTATGCTGAAAGTGTTAAAAATAAAGAGATCGTGAACCTTAGATTTGGAGGATTTATAGTGCATATATAATCCATGAATCTTGTTTATTTATAAAAAAAAAGGGTTGGAGTGTAATTTTATCCTTGTGATATTTTGACTTGTACCCTACTCAAAATAATATGTATTAGATTAGTAAAAAATATTGAGGGACCTACGTGGGGTATTAGAAAAAATTCTAAAGGAAATGTTAGGCTCAGGCAAGATGCTCAAGCCAATTAAAAGTAAAAAATAGATTTAGGTGTGCTATCTGGACTTAAACACATTAGGCTCAAATGCGATAGCTCAAGTCCACAAGGGTGCTATGGTACATGACAACATCAACTAGAAAATATACCCAACAAGGACAGACGTGTCACTTTTATCACCAGTTAGGTAGGACGCATATCGCTAGTTGGGTGTACACTCAACAATAGGCATGCACCTAGATGGTGGGATTGGGCTGTCATGGCCAAGCCTTTGCTTAACAAATTAGTGATAATGGCGTAGGTGCTTGCAAGCCCCCAACTAATGAGTGATACATGATGTGTGAGGGTTATCTAACCTCATTAGAATGACATTAGACATGAGAGTTTTTCACTAGAGAGTAGTGTCAATTTAAGATTGCATTAGTGAATAGGTTTTTAGCATTATTTGAGAAAGTGCTAGTTCGAGACTACAGTAATGGGGGATCCAAGATCAACTCTTAGTGAATTGGTGAAATTAGGCATCATTTGAAGAATGTGCTAGTTTGAGACAACACTGGAGAATATATCATCTAAGATCAACCCCTAAATATTTTATGAGAGGTCCTTTGGCATCAGTTAGAGAATGTACTAATCTGATACTACACTAGAGAATAGGGGATCCAAGTTAAACACTTAACGAATTAGTGAAAGACCATTTGGCATCACTTGAAAAATGATGCTATTGCAATAGAGAGATCTCATACCAACCCTTTGAAGATTATAAGGTTATTACCCTAGAAAAACTAAGTTAATCCCCTTCAAAAAGAGTGATTATATTGCATTAAGGAGACCGAGTTAATCTATTCTTTGAAAAGTGTTTGAAAACCCCACTAAAATTTTTTAGTTAGAAAATGTATATCAAATATACATTATTTTTATTTTAAAAATAAACTTACATTACTATTATACATCCTGATGTGGTCTAAAAGATATATATATGGGTTTCTTAAGAGGAACATGTCTTGGAAGTGGTTCTAAGATGTTTGGTTTGACTACCTTGATAACTTTAAATAAGTGATTTTATTTTGATTCAAGAGAGTTATAAATCCTTAGGATATACGAAATGCTCATAGATGTATCCTTTATGGTTCTTCATTAAGCTTTTATTTATATTAGGAGAATGATCTGGCTTGAAAGGTCTCTCATGTTGGTTTTCCTTGTAAAAACAATGAGACCTATATCATAGCAAATCAGCCTCTTCCACATATATGTTATTTTTTATGACTTGCTTTACCTTGAGCAAGCTTCTATCTAGGAAGTCATAAAGTTTTCTCTAAAGAGCATATTTCCTTACCCTTCTTATTAAAGTCTCGAAGGCTACTCACTTAGGCAATTCTTCCACCTTGAGCATCTTTTCATTGAACCTCTTTATATATGCTTGTGTAGACTCGCTTTTTTGTTGGGTAACACCAAATAACATCATAGAGCTTTTCTTGATGGGTATGCTGGTGTTGAAGCATGCCACTAGCTTGGTGTAAAGTCATTAAACCCTTCGATGGAGTTTAGCTCCAAATTATCATACCAAACACACGCAGATCCTGGGAGGTTATGAGGAGGATTTTGCACATTTAGTCATTATATTGGATGACCAACTTTAAACTACAATGCACATTATATACATACTCTTTTGGGTCTGCCTGACTATTATAATTGTCCATACTCAATTTTATGAATTATAGTCCATTGGGAACCAAATGGTCAATACTCGTTTGGACAAGAAAGAACCCCTCCACTGATGGGGGTTCGTCATTCTTCTAGATATACTTATGTACAAACTGTTTCTTAATTCTTTATTTGTTAGGCTCTTGGGAGCTTAAAGAGTTTGGCATAGAATGATAATTATGGTAATTAGTGTCCATCTCATGGTAATTGGTGTCCATCTCATTATAGCTAAGAAAAGTATGTTCGAAGTACTGACTTTGTACATAAGTATATAATAGCACAAACGACCTCTTGAGGGATTCTTAAGAATGTCAATCTATTTAGTCTCTTTTGAGTAGTGTAATTGTTTACGAGTGCTTGGTGTGGTTAGTAGTTGTGGTGCTGGAGCGTTATGTGTTGCTGAGGATGTCAAGACTTGTTGGGATGACAAGGTTTGATTTTGCTCTTGGGTTGCCAACATGATCTAAATGAGGAGTTTCACTTGACTGATAAGTTATTGAAGGTTTGGATGAGTAGAGGTGTTTTGTTAACTAGTGGATTTGTTTTACTTCTTGACTCACATATGTCGTGGTTGTATGCCATGAAATGACATGGAAATGTCAAAAATAAGTTTTAGAAATTGATGCCTTTTCTATCAATTCCATAAATGGTGCCAATTAATTAGTCCTAAAGTCCGAGATACTTAAAAATAAGGCTAATGTGTTGGATAATTGATTGATCTCCTAATTTAAGTAATCTGATCAATTTTTTCTAGCCAAGGTGTCTGATGGCTTAATATGGAAAGCCCATATGATTGGTGGCTAGTAGAAGATGGTGCCTAGTGAGTTAAGGTGATTGGTGGTTGGTAACTGATACTTGCAAAAGGTTTCTTTTGATGGATGTAAGGACTTTTCGATACTTACGTTCATAATTTTATAAAGAGAAAAGTGCAATGATATTTTAAAGAGATAAACTCTGAAAATATGGATGTTGAAAGTGTTAAGAATGAAGAGATCGTGAACCTTTGGCTTGAAGGATTCATGATATATTTATAGTTCATGCTTTTTGTAAAGAGAAATGGTTAAAGTGTAATTTTATTATTGTGATATTTTGAGTTATATTCTATTTAAAATAATATATATTAGATTCATATAAAATATTAAAAGACCTATATGAAACCCTAAAAAAATTATCAAATGAGTATTAAACTTGAACATAAGTACCTGAGTCCATGTAGGTGTTGGGGTGCACACGTAACACCAGCTAGGTTTTACATGTCTAGTATGTTAAGCATGTATCCAGAGAGGAAGCTTGATCTTCCATGCTTGAGCCCGGGTGTATGCTTAAAATGGAATCAAGATATAATGCCTGGGCTCTGTATATTAGTTGTAGTTGGGCTGAGGTGTGGTAGTATAAAGTAAGCTGGAGGTTTTTGAATTTTATTGAGTGTTTTTGGTTTTTTTTTTATATTGTTAGAGAAGTTTTTGGGCAGTTAAATTTGATTCCATTTCCAGGGTTGGCTTCAACTTTCTCTGGAATCTCTTAGAAGAGCTGAGAGTGATAAATGTCTAAATATCTGGCTGCTAATCGCTTGAAAGTGGAGAAGGTATTACATGGCATGTGAATGTGCATGTCCATATGACCAGACACTAGCTTATATATTTTCAAAAACATCAACTTCTTGATTTATGTCAATGACGTTCTCTGGTTTTTTATCTCTCTCTCTCTCTCGCTTGCCTTTATTCATCGAATGGATGATGCCAATTTAGTGCCCAAAAAAGTTTCAGCAGCCACAAATAATTCTTCATTCTATTGCTAAAAGTTTCAGCAGCCACAAATAATTCTTCGTTCTATTGCTCTTGTTCATATCCTTCTACGACAGGAGTGACTTGAGAAGAAAAACGACGATAAAGAATGCAGAGATTGACAATGCTTGGAATCAGCACTGCTGAAGCTGCTACTATAGAAAGAATTGTTTTTGTCTTAGGAATGTTTTGGAGAGAACATCCCCCAGGAATTTCTTAATGTAAGGTTTGTTATCAAATTAATGATGATAAAAATGAAGTTTGTGAAAAGGCTTTGAAATAGGCGAGAGAGAAAAATGTGATCAAGATTCTGAAGTTAAAACTTCATGAATTCTTCAGTGAGCTTTATAAAGCCTAGCTAAGAAAGGAAAGAAAATTACCCATAAGACTAATTTATCAATCCTCTGTGCTGGTCATGGCTTGTCCAGCAAATGTTTCTAGAAGAACATGCACTGAAATTCTGAAAGGATAATTCCAAGTCTCTGCCTTTCGAAGACTATTCTAGTTGAAGAGTATTTAGCCAGCAAAGCTTGGACTTTTATGCAGCAATATAATTGTTCAACCATTGATCCTATAATCCGTGTCCTTATTTTCCACCATTTCTTCCATTTTCATCGTCCCAGAAAGCGTCCTTGAATATGTCAAAGTTTCACAAGTCGGGAAAACCAAGGAGGTATGCTGTCAACTTCACTTCATGTTAATGAGCATTGCCGCATGCAGTAAGGTATTAAGGCACGCATCCTTCCAGGATAGCTCCAAGGGACCTATAAATTTCTGGAATCTTGTTTTAGGAACTAGCAAAGTCCTAATACAAAGAGGAAAAGTACTCATGACAAACTTTTAATTCCAGTTACGAGGCTCTTTATAGAAGTCATTGCTTGCTAGCAGAAAGATTTGTTAAAAGAGAAGCAAAAGCAAACCTCTATTAAACCTAATTTACAGCTTTCTTGAAGAACTACATCATAATACATTAACATCTACCATCACAAAAACCTACAAAAATGTTATCCTCTCTGAAGAGCCAAGATACATCAAAAGTTTTCATCACGCTGGCCCCTATTGTCGCTTCTGCAATTCTTGTCTGAACCATTTATGAGGTCCGAAGACACTTCTTCGCCTCCAAATACAAATCTTCTCCCTATTTCTCTAGTCGAAAGACTATCATTATAGAGGAACACAAAGAGGACGACTTGCTTAACAAAGAATTTCAGGCTATTGATACATATTTGGTCAATGAAGTCAGCTCCTCTGTAAGCAGACTAAAAGTGAGAAAGGATGAGGATATGAAGAGATTGGTAACCAGCTTGGAGATAAACGAAGAGATAATTGATATTTTTAAGAATGTGGAAGCAAGATGGAGATTGATTTTCAAACATGAAATGTCGGATCAAGGTAGACATGCAAAATATATGAAATCTTATGAGCTAACTTTCAACAAGAAACATGAACAGATGGTGTTGAATTCATACTTGCCATACATCATGGAGCGAGGCAAGGCTATTAGAGAAGAAAGTAAGGTAATCAAGCTATATCCAGTGGACTTCGCATCTGGAGTCTCAGAATATACCTTCAATTTTGATCACCCAATTACCTTTGAGACCCTTGCAGTCGATTCGGAGCTTAAGAAAGCAGTATTGGATTATTTGAACACCTTTATGAACGCAGAGGAATATTACAGAAATTCTAGCAAACAATGGAATCGTGGTTACTTGATATACGGTCCTCCTGGCACCAACAAGTCAAGCTTGACCGCAGCAATGGCTAATCACTTAAAATATGACATCTATGACTTAGATGTATCAGAATTTTACAACAATCCAAATTATTTAGAGCGCTGGTTGATCCTTCGACTGCCCAGTCGAATTGTAGTCGTAGTTGAGGATATAGACTGCACTATCAAGCCACAAAACCAAGGTGAAAAAAAGGTGAGAATCAATATACTTCAATGCATAGCTATTTGAACACAGATGATTTCGACAATCAATCTACACATTCATGTTTGAAAATAGCTTTTAGATCAATAAAAATTTGATGTACACTTTATCTTATTATTACACCATCAGGTAAAGGTCTCAGATATGCTTAAACAACTTCGGTTGTGCGCTGGAGATGGACAGGTTGTTGTTTTCACAACCAATCACATAGACATGCTCGACCCAGAATTGTTGACTCCTGATCTGATGAACATGCACGTTCACATGCCATATTGCACCATTTTTGCTTTCAACCAAATAGCTTTCAACCATTTTAATATTTCCCATCACATACTCTTCGAGGAGATTGAAGGTCTTATAAAGAAGGTTGGAATTACTCTTGCAGAAATTTCAGGAGAGCTTCTGAAGAGTAGCGATGTTGAAGTTTCCCTCCAAGGCCTAATCAAATTTCTTCACAACAAGATTGCTGAATATGCCAAGTTCAAAGCTTAGAATCAGTTATGGGCATTGAAGCACAAAAGTAGATGAGTTCTTGTTAATTAACTTGTTCTTCTCATACATGTAATCAACTACCATATGATGTTATATCAACCTTTAGGCTGGAAGATCACTCAAAACTTCCCTAAACTTTTGTGCCATATTAGATTACATTGATTATCCAATTCGTGAGTATCTTCGATAGTCTATATAGATTCTAGCTATTGACATCAAGTTGAGATAGTTGTCCATAAACAACCTAGTGAGAGTCTATTAAGCACTACTTTTGAAGGCGGGTTCATTATCTATCCATGGTTAATGCTTAAGCCCAGAATCCAAAGGGTAATGGATCTTTTTTTTTTTCCTGTATTTGATGTGCCTTTATATATGTTTGATTTCTCTCTGAAATTTAATTTACGTTTTTATCTGGCATTCAGTTCAAGCTAATTAAGGGATTTAAATCACCAAAACTATAAAGCTGTCTCTCCATGGTTTCGCAACATAGAGTGCCAAGATAACATTTTCAAATATTTAGGCAGAGACGCAAGCACTGTATTTTTTATCTTCCCAATATCCAGTGACAAAACACCAAAATGGAGGCACACTAGACGGGATTTCAGACGATATCCTTTCATGTGTCATGGTTTAGGGACTTTCTACCATGGACCACTCTTTCCCAGATTTCCTTTGATTTGAGGCCAAATGAGCTCATAAACTTGGACCCTTGAAATTTGAACACTTCTTCGCCAAAAAAAGAAAGAAAAAATTTTGAACTCTTCCAGATTTCAACTAAACTATGCTGGTAAAAATTTTAAACTCTCCCAGATTTCAACTAAACTATGCTGGTTGACTCTTCAATGGCGTTGTTATGCAGCCTTGACTAGCTGAATAGATTAGAATATCTTTCTCTAAAAGCGCCAAAGAACTGCCTGGTTAAAAAGCATGTTGACTTCCAAAATTAAAGTTGGAAAAGTCGTCTCTACTCATGAATAGAATAGCCCTGAAATCAAGACTAGGAAATATCAAAACCTATAGAAACATCCATAGCAATGAAAGACCAATCTCAATGGAAAAGTATTGGAAGTATAATTTTCTTTGCCTAGAATTGTAAAAATCTCTAATGAAATTGATTGAGGAGCAAAAGCGACTTTGCTAAACAAGACCCTTTCTTTCGAGGCCGATATAAGCACATGCCTTGAGATTTGATAATTTGATAGCTGACAAACTTGAAAATGGTGTCCCTTCAAAACAGGGAAACTATCATTGTATTTGCCACTCTTGCTGCTTCCATAATGCTTGTTCGTAGAATTACCAGTGCCTTCATCCCTTTTGGTGTCCAAAAATACTTCTCCAACCTCCATAGCTTCTCTTCCCATTTCTCCACTCAATTACTTACTGTTGTTGTAGAAAAAGATCGAAGGCCAGAGTTTAATTGTTTCAGGTAGCTGATTTCTACTGGGGCACTTTAGTTACCTCATCAATAATCAGGGGTAGAGAGGCTGAGGAAGAAACTGCCGTCGACAAAGATGTTGAGATTCTTGATGCTTTTTGAAATGTGAAAATAAGGTGGAAATTGGTTTTCATAAAGGTTGAGCAGTTCGATATTGAGAAAATAAACACAACCATGCAATCAGGTAGAAGAACCTATGAGCTAACTTTTCACAAGGAACACAGAGATATTATGCTGAATCTGTACTTGACATACATTTTGGAGCAAGAAAAGGCCATTAAAGAAGAAAGAAGGGTTCAACGGTTTCAAAAGTACCGCAACAGACAGTGGGAATTGGACGACACATTTGAGCACACAACAAACTTCAAGATCCTGGTAATGGAACCATAGCTGAAGAAAATACTATTGGATGATTTGAACACCTTCATGAGTGCTCAGGAAAAGTACAGAAGAATTGGGAAAGCTTGGAATCGTCGGTACTTGTTATGTGGCCCTCCTGGCACAGGCAAGTCAGGCTTGATTGCTGTCATGGCTAATCACTTGAATTATGACATCTACCAGCTGGATCGAACATATTTTAATATTCACTACATCATGCATCACGAAGTCCCTAGTAAATCAATTTTGGTGTTCAAGGATATTGATTGCGATGTCGAGCTACTAGATCAAGAATATGAGAACGGACCAGAGAATTATGATGAGCATAAGGTTAGAACTTCTACCAGAAAAGTGTTCATTTAGAACTTGACTGATATGCACAAGTAAACATAATGCACTTAAGACAATGAAATTTGATTGTTAGTTCAGTGGATGATTGACGAACCCCACTATGAAATCTACAAAATCATAACCTCTCATTGCATGCTTTCCTTGGGCTTGATGTAGAAACTTTAGTGAGGCCTTCTAACTTCAATCTATATAACATGTATTATCACTTCTTTTTATAGTTCGAAAATTGATATAATGGGTTTTTTGTGTTCTTATGATTTCTGTAGAGGATGATGTCTATGTTCCTCGAAGCCACTAATGGACTATGGTTATCTTGCAGCAACGAACGCATTCTCGTTTATATGGCCAATAACAAAGCAATGCTTTATCCAGCTTTACTTCGTCGCACGGACATGCACATTAACATGTCATCTTGTACCATCTCTACATTCAAGCAACTAGCCTTCCAGTATCTAGCAGTTCAACATCATAAATTCTTTGAAGAAATTGAAGGGCTCATAGAGGATGTTGAAGTCGCCCTTGAAGAAGTTTTACGACAATAAATGAAGAGTAGTGGCATAGAAGCTTCTTTCCAAGGCCTTGTTAAATTCCTTCATGACAAGAAATTTAATCTTGAAAAACCTGAAACCAGCATGAAAACTGAATCTATAGAATAGAAACAGGGGATGAAAAGATCATCGGCTAGTAGATTGGAAAGGGCTATAGAAGGTGGAGACATCTCAAGGTTAAGAACATGAATGAAGTGGATTCTAAAGCACAGACATGCTCATGAGTTTGTTCAGTGGATGGGATGGTTCGAATTTGTTTATAGGATTTAGGGAAGAATGCCACAATGTAAGCTTGGCAAACTGGAAAACTATCTGAAAGCTCTAAAAGGAAATAATATGTGTTTTTTAAATTCAGATAATCCTGATATTTTATTGTTAAGATATTAATATGACTGCTTTTAATATTTGCTTTTGATTTTTTTTTGTTTTTTGAGCCAGCTGAGTGAATAATTTTTTATATGTATGAGAAAAATATAAATATTTAAATTGTTAATATGAATTGGACCATGTTTCTTAATAATATATATGTTGACTATTATCATTGTTATGATAAAGCATAATCAATTGTTGAGTTTGAATTTTTTATATGAGTTAATATATACTTTTGAATTGACTTCTGAATTACTAGCTTCTCATTTGATTGATGTCATAAGTTGAGTCTTGAGATATAAATTTATCTATTTGATTATGATATGAACTTATGATAAACCAGTTAGAATATCCATACTAATATGATAGTATTAGTCTTTGTGCATATCGTATCTGAAACTTTAGAGGAGTCACCAACTTGTGTAGACTGATCATCTCATAGTACAGAGTCTCATATTCATTGCATTTTGATTTTCTAACAAGTTTTATTTTATGATATTCTTGTTGTGGCATGTTTGAAAAACTTTTATATAAGAACCTAAAACCATATTTTTATATATATTCCTTATTGTTGTATTATACAGTATATAAAAACTTTTATATAAGAACCTAAAACCATACAGTATATATATATTGAACATTATCTACTCATTAAGTTGTTGAACTCGCTCTCTCATTATTTACCTTTTTCAAGCTTATAACTTGTTAGCAAGTTATTTGTATTGGATCTTCAGAAGTTGTTATTTTGATTGTAATTAATATTTTTTTATATGTAATTAGTGTTCTGCAACTACAAATTAGTATTAACTCTTGTATTAAGATAAACAATTTATATTATATAGTTAGTTTTGTTATTATTGTTGTATTAGACTCTAATTAAGTTATTTAAATAATAAGTTCATATGTAAATTTTGGTTCGCATAGGTATGGAACCCTAGAGAGGGACCTTACTTATGTGCTGGTCATAAATATGAGAATCAGATCGTGACAAACTTGATATCAGAGCATTAGGTTAAAAAACAATAGTAGAATAATTTTATAATAAGTGAGCATTAAGGTTTATTGTCTTTTAAATTCAAAATTCTCATCAAGTATGTCTTCTTCCTTTATGATAGACATGAATTCCTATAATTCCATGCTATTTCTTTTGGCACGATTTAAATGCTCTCATTTCTTATAAGATATACTAAGTAATAGACATGTAGCTCGTACTATTAAAATAGATGATAATTAACATGTTGAGTAGATACCTCTAGTAGTGGAGGAGGAGCCTCATGAGTTATAAAAAGACAATTTTGTTGGTAAAACATGTACATTGGTAGCAAACCTTAAACCTATTATAGAGTTTTAGCAGCTCAGCTAAGTAATGCAGACCTAGATAGAGTTTAATATGAAAAGAGATAGGAGAAAGAATAAAGATATACCATCATCATCCCATATTGTTTAGGGAGTCAATGTGCCGTTGAATAATTTTATGAAGTTGTCACCTCCTATCTTCATTGGGATGGATAGTTCAGAAGATCCTTAAAGGTTCTTAAACAATATATGATGACGGTGTGAAATTTTGGGATGTATAGACCACTGGACAATGAGTTTGGCATCATTCAGGTTGGAGGAAGATGTGACAATCTCTTAAATTAAGCCTGGGAAAAGAGCAAGGCCAGTAGAGGCTTAGTGTATATGAAAGGAGTGTAATATCATGTTCTTAGAAAGGTTTCACCATCAAAATGTTAGGGATGCTCAACTTTATAGGTTTAAGAGGTTACTTTAGAGGAGCATGACAATGAATGAATATAATATAAAGTTTACTCAGTTGTCTAGGTATGCAAAACATCTTCTACCCACTAAGAAGTGAAGAGTGAAAAGGTTCGTTAGAGGACTCAAATCCTCAATGTATGTGTTTATGGTATCACAAGTGTTTCAATCTTGCTCATCAGCTGTTGATAGCACGCGAGGTTGATAATGGTGCAAGAATTAGAGGATATGGCTACAAGCCAGCCTAAGAGGTCTAGAAAAAAGGGTTAAGTCTTTTAGACAACAAATATCAAATATAGGTTCAAAAAGGGTTAAGTCTTTTAGACAACAAATATCAAATATAGGTCCGTCTAGGGGGTCTAGGGGATGAAGTGACTATCAAGACTAATGGATTCCGAGGAGGTTTAGACAGAGACCTTCAACTAATGGTTCAAGTAGTCAAGGTAGTAGTAGTGATACTCAGAATTTAGTTCAGACTGCACCTCATAGCTCATTTGTTCCATCTGGAGATAGTTCTGCATGTTAGTATTATAAAAGAGGTCATACTATTGCAAAGTGCTCCAAAAGAACTGGGGCTTGTTTCGGATATGACTAAATAGATCATTAGATCAAAGAGTGTCCTAGAAGACAGTCATCAACTTCAAGGGCATTTTCTTCAGTCTAGCCTCCCATTCAAACACCATTGACAAGTTAGTCTATGGCTCCTGGTAGTAGAGGTTTGGTGGTCGTGGTTAGAAAGGTCTTCAATCAAGATCAAATCATCCAAAATAAAACTTTGAGGATTAAAGTGAATTTTTTTAAAATAAACAGGGTCATCCATAATGTTTCGTGAAGAGATGAATAATGTCGATTGGATAATATTCACCCCACACGTTTTAATTTTTAAGTAATATTTACTTATCTTTACAACAACTCATATCAAATTAAATCATATTTGTCTTTCCTCAATCAAATCAAATAAATATTCAATCCACTGAAATTGGATAAGTCAGATAAAATTTTTACACTTGTACTCACAATTCTATATCTCTCAATTTTTTTTCTATTTTGATCCAAAATCTTTGTATTATTTAGAAACAATTGTATTCAATTAACTTTGTATTGATGTTAAAGAGATAAGTGAGTGTGCGTTGCTTTGAGTGGATGTTAAATATTAGAAATTAATAATTTGTTGCATTGTCTCCTTGAAACACCAGTTTTTTTTATTTTAAAAATATTTTTTAAAAAATATTTTTTTTCTTTAAATTAATTAGTTTTTTGTTTTCAGATCATTTTGATGTACTAATATTAAAAATAAATTTTTAAAAATAAAAAAAAATATAATCATAACATTAAAATAAAAAAATATTTTTTTTTAAAAAAATATAATCATAACATCTAACATAGAGTATTGAGACTCCAAAATCACACCGACATATTTGTTTTAAAAAAAATGCATTCATGCATGTTTAGTGATGGGCGGTTGATTGAACAGTTGATTTACTAATTAAAAATTAATAATTTTTTAATTAGAATTAAGAATTATTTTTTAATGTAAAAAATATTAAAAAAATACTAATTTAGCTTATATATAAATTGATCCAAATCAAAACCCGATAAACGGTTGGCAAGGCAGAAATTGAAATATAGATAGAAGAAGGCACGGGCATAGCAAAGATGGTTTAATGGACTGAGGTTGAAAGGATATCCCTAGTGGGCCTGTATTGTCTGATTTTTAAAGCTGTTATTGGGCCCTAATAAAATTCATTGCTTCGGTTGATGCCCAAAAAATGTCCCGAACTCCTATTATAAAAAAATTATTTTAATATATTTTTAAATAAAAAAATTCTAAATAAAATTAATTTTTACTAATAATTATGCGAAAGAGATGGAAATTTTTCTGTCAATGCATGAATTAAAAAAAAAATAACAAACCTTATACCTATTATAGTGGACAAAAAAAGACAAAGCTTGAAAACATTTGTGATAAAACCGTATTTTCCGTTGGAAACCTTGGGGAATAGTCAAACCTGAATCACAACCACACAAAAACAAGTAGCTTCACCTCTCTTTTTCCCTATAAAAGGAATGTTAATCCATGCATATTCCATCGGAACCCTAAGAGTAATCATAGAACAAAATGGCAAAGGGTTTCACCGTGGCTGCCTTCGTTTCTACAGCTCTCTGCTTCTCCTCCGTTCTCATCTCCGCCTACGCTGCAGATTACTTAGATGTCGAAGGCAAGGTTTACTGTGACACTTGCCGGGTTGAGTTTCAGACCAAGATCAGCGACGCTCTTCCAGGTAAACGATGTGGTTAATAGTTTGATTATCGTTTATTAAGGTATCGAATTAATGCTCAGCTTTTATGCACCAATGTTACTATATTAAGAAGGCCATCAGTATACATATATATTGGTCTTGTTAACAAGCACTATCAAGTAATGTGCAATTTCGTTTTTAAATTCTGATTCAAAATTTTAGCTCCTCTTCTTATATGTGTGTGGGCGCGCGTGCATGGTGCAGGTGCCAAGGTGAAACTGGCATGCAACAACCGTGAGAATGGCACCTTGACATATACCGTGGAGGGCTCAACCGACAGCAGGGGCACATACCGCCTACCCGTGGCGGGAGATCACGAGGAAGATATCTGTGAGGTTAGGTTGGTGGAGAGCCCCAGAGCCGATTGCAATGAACCATTCAAGAGCGTTGATTCTGCTAGGATCCTCCTCACCAAGAACGTTGGAGTGGTGAATAGTCTCCGATATGCCAATGCTCTTGGGTACATGAAGAAGGTTGCTCAACCAGAATGTGCAAAAGTACTCGAAGAAATGGGTTTCCTTCCTGTTGAGGCGGAAAATTGATTGATTAAATCTTCATCATTATACTTCCTTTTTTGCCTCACCTGAATAATAAAACTTGACATGTAATGCCATTTTTCTCTGTTGTGTAGCTATCGACAATTGTAACCCAGTGTTTCAATGGATCTATAGCAATTATTTGATACAGCGGAAAATTTCTTCTTCTTCTTCTTCTTTTTTAACTATCTCATCTAGAATTGAAACACCTTTGGCACAAAAATGGTACGTACATGATCATACACAAGAACGAAACAATTTGCGAGCTAAAGAAAAAACCAAATTGGATATGTTCATACACTGAAGAAATTTAGTGGACGTTCCTTAAGATCATTCTCAGTGTTCATTCAAAATTGAAACCGGAACTAGTAACAATACCATGTACAATAATTGAGCGTGTCAAGCTATGTAAGTTCATAAATTTTTGTCATGTTTTGAACTCGTTGAACTTTTTTTGTCCCAGAATTCACTCCATGGCGGGCAAGATAAACTGGTAAAATATATGGGTTTGTTGAAATGCAGTCACAAGCTCATAACAATAATTTGAAATGCAGTCACAAGCTCATAACAATATTGTAGGCTCCTGCCAGGAACACCCCACCGTCCTCACCATTGTTAAAAGTCTCAGACAGACAGGTCCATGCCATGTTCGACCTGTTTGATGGAACAGTCCTGAACCGAGGAATTTCGTTTACCATGTCCAGGTTTGGACTTGTAATTTTAACCATTTGATTGACCAAGTCTGCCAACAGCGTGTACAACTTTTTATTTTTTCTTCATTTTTTGATAGAAGAACTTGTATAATTTAAGATTTAAGAAGCTCCAGACACGTTCTTTCTCTGGTCTTTGCTGGAAAAGGCAATGGCAAATGGCCATGTATCCTATTACAAAGCTTTTTTACATCAACATTTTGAAACAATAAGAAGAAACACTGAAACGTTAAGCCCGGGTTGGGTAGAGTTTATTTAGATCTGGACGCTTTCTTTTCTTATCTTGTGTACAGATAGCTAGATGGTAGTTTAGATTAATCGAATAATGAGGATTAGTTTTAATATGAGAAAATTGGCACAGCAATATCATGACCACTATATATAAATAAATTTGTGTATTGTTTGTCATGATTGGGTGCCTATATATTAGGGGTGAGTAAAAAAACCGATTAAACCGAGAAAACCAGAAAAAAAATAACTGAAAAAACCGAACCGAAAAAAAAAACCGATTAAACCGATTAAAATTTTGAAAAAACCAGCCGGTTCGGTTCGGTTTCGGTTTTATAACCAAAAAACCAAACCGAAACCGAAAAAAACCGAGCCAAAACCAAGCCAAACCGGAAAAACCGAGCCAAAACCAAGCCAAACCAGAAAAACCGAGCCAAACCGATTTGAACCGGTTTTTCCCCTAAAAAACCCGAACTGAACCGAACCGAAACCGGTCGGTTTGACCCGGTTTCGGTTTGGTTTCGGGTTTTTTTTCAAAAAAAATTTTTTCGGTTTGGTTATTTTTTTTTTATAAAAATCGAACCGAACTGAAAATGATCACCCATACTATATATAGATATATTAAATTCCCCATTAATTTATTGATGGTTGTTTTAACCAAACCCCTGCTAGCTGTTATATTCATTTAATTAATTCGTTGTTAAGTTTTCACACGAGTACTCACGAGTGTCTTCAATTTTAGCCAGATCTTGACACAAAATTGATACTTCTTGAATCATTTCGATACTCGAAATTCTTTAACAAAGATATTAGAGTTTAGTTATTGGTTATTGTAATTAGATAAAAGAAACAAAGATAGTTTTTTGAAGAGAAAAAAATAAAAATAAAAAACTAAAACTAAATTTATATCTCTGATAATTTTAGAGTAAATTTTTGCACTTCTAATACATCAGTTACAAAGCAACATATCTCTAAATATAATATTTTTTATTTTTATTTTTAAAATATTCAAATAAAAAAAATTTAATTCCAAAATTATTCACTTAAGATATGTTAAAATAAAAGTGATTATTTTCATAATTTTAAAACTCTTCTTGAGAATCATTACTAGAAAATTGATAAATACAAATAAAAATTACAATGAATTTTACTGTCGAAAATATTTTCTCAATATATAATGAGAGAATTATAGTGAAAAAAAATAATTAAAACAAAGTTAAAAAAATACGATGATATGACATTTATACCAACAGAATTATCAACAAAATTAATTTCATTGGTAAAATCATTGGTAAACTATTAACATTATCCATCATATCTAATATAAAGAAAATCACCGATGAAATTTTTCGTCAATATTTTTTAAAGAGTTTTGAAAATGTTTACTTTCTAATTGTATTGTTAATAATTGTTTTTTACAGAAAAAATCACCAAAAAATTAAAAAGTCATCGGTATTATTTAACGGATTTTAAAAAAAAATTCATTAAATTAAAAATTTAAATTAAATATTACATACAGAATCACCAACGAATTGAAAAATTGTTGGTGATATTTGTCGATTTTTGAAATTTTTTTATTAAACTGAAATTTTAAATTAAATATTACAGACAAAATCACATACAAAATGATTAAAAATATTAATATCTAATTATCCATCGATAAAATATTTTAACAAAAAGTCCAGAATCCCTCATTTCACAATAGATGAGCCTTCTTTTCTTCTTTTTCTTCTTCTTCTTCTTATGTAAGAAACATCAACTTCCCTTTCTTTTTCTTCTCTTCTCTTCTCTTCTTAACTCCTTTTTTTATCCTTCATGCTCAGGTATGTTTTCTTCTCTTTTTTTCTTTTTTCTTTTTAGTTTTTTTAATTAATATACTTTATGAATTTTTTTTTCTCTTCTCACATTCACTCGCAACTATATTAAGCTAAGATTTTTTTTCTATTTTTTTATATTTTTTTATTTTATTTTATTTTTAAATTTTTTTTGTTCTTAATAATTGTATGAATGTTGTTGTAGGACTCTTTTCTTTTCATATGAGATTAATTTTTAGTTGATTTATTTATAGAATTTTTGAATTTTTAGCAATCACAACTTCATTTTTTTCATATGAATTTTTTAAATTGATTTATTTTTGTGTTATTTATTTGTTTCAAATTTATTTGGGTTGATTTTCCTCCTTTTTTTTTCAAGCATCTCAATTCTAAGTATTATAGAGTGTTGATTTATATTAATTTAATTATTTTATAGTTTTTTAAAATAAATTTTTTAAATATTTTTAAATAATCACTGACGGAATTACATACGGTATTTTCTAAGGGAAATACCGACAGAATAAAGCAAGTACCTTTTTTTACGTGCTTTTTCCGTTAGTAAATTTATCGGTAATAATATTTTTTTATTACCAACAGACTTACCGTTGGACAAAAAATTACCTATGAAAGATTTTACCGACGAAGTATTTTTGTCAGTGATTATCAGTAAATTAATTGCCAACAGAATGAAAGTATAAATATCGACAAAAAATTTTGTCTGTAAATATAAAAATTCTGGTAATGAATAGTATAAATACCGATAGAAAATTTTGTCTACAAATATAAAAATTCTGGTAATAAATAATCTTTTTCAAAAAAAATAATGATTTTTTTACCCGAGTTTTGCCTATGATCTATCGAGTCGTGATCGATATGGGTTTCTCTTTAACCCAAACTAGTTTAGGTATTGGATCAATCAGGCCCCGAGTTAATACACCGTGTCAATTCATGTTTTATAACTAGAGTTATGATAATATTATTAATTTCAACATTCAATATAAATTATGATAAAAATAAATACTATCTATTTATTTTTTAAAATATGTAAGTTTGATAATAATATATATTAAAAAAAAATAGATAATTTTTTTTATTTTATTCTATTTTATCACCTACTAACCAAATAAGATGTAAAGACAATCATTATATTTTATATATCATTATCAAACTCAATTTTATTTTCATCTTTTATTTAGTCTTATATTCATTGTCTTAGTTGTATTTATCTCTTGTATCTTGAAATAGTATCAAAAGTTACATAAAAATCATGTACATGATACACAGAATATTAAATATTATAGCGTCTTCTATGTATCAAAAGGATGAATCACCCGACTGTCTAATTTTTAATGCTAATAATTAAATTTTAGAGTCATATGCTGTGTTCAGTTTCATGGAATTATTTTGCTTATCTCGCTTTTTCTTAACTAATAATCTATTCTAAAGGAAAGAAATAAGAAAATATATTTATGGAACAAAATCTTTTTCAATATATATAATAAAAAAATATTCATAATAAACTAGGTGAATCAAACCAGAACATATATATATATCTAGTTGTTAAATCTTTCATAAGACATAACTTGATTAAGTACTTGAATGTGAATTATATTGAGTTAATCCATGGATATAGTTTTTTTTATATTTTTTTAATTTAGTTGAAAAATATCCAGATAAAAAATATTGTTTTTGTTTCAATTTAGTTGAAAAATGTAGAAAACATGGTATTTTCAATCTATAAACATTTTTTATATAATTATCTATTTCCTAAAAGAATTTCTCAAAAACTGGATTATCCTCAACAAATAAACGCAGGCATAGTTTTCAACTTTGAAGCATGGGCTTGTGGGCCTGGGCCACCAAACAGAAAAGAGCGAGTAGCGTTGAACCACCGCAAAACACCCCACCCCACCTCCCAAATTCTAAAACTGAAAATTCCTCCCAGTACGGTGCCCCCGACGGAGAGAAGAGGAGCGCCGTCTGACTTCTATAATGGACCCACGCGCTTTCGCACATGAATTAACCGACACAACAAGCAATGGAGCAAGTTTAACTCACTCCATTGGCAATGTGCTTCTTGCTCCTTCAAACTCCAAGTCAACTGAGAAACTGGAATCAGAAACACAGCGTCATGATCCATGAATTGTTTTGTTCCTTTTAGGTTGCCTAATACACTTTCATTCGCAGTGTTTAGAAATGAATTTAGAATCATGTTTCTAAAAAAAATTAAATTTTTTATTTAAAATTATTTTTTTTATATTTTCAACTCATTTTAACATGTTAAAATAATTTTTTATATAAAAAAATATTTTACTGCATTTACAAATAAAATATGCTTTGAATACTATCTTATTCCCAAATACTTTATTACTCTATTTTAAATCATGAGAAGAATTTATA